TTGAACCCCTCCCTCACTCCCTCCCCAAAGGTGATTATTCTCCTGAAGTTGGCATTGCCATTCCCATTCCCATGCCTTTTTTACATTTTGAATTATATAATTATATATGTATATATTAGAAGCCTGTTGCACGAAGATTCACACAATAGGCCTTCCTTCCCCTGGCTGCCGGTACCAGTTTTCCTCTGGCACCCGGGACCCAGCTCTTTGCTCCGGTCGCAGTGGAGAAGCCAAGCCTCTTTAGTCTTCAGTTGTCTTCAGTCTTTGCTCCGTGCCTGCATATGCAAATTAACCACCATCTTTGTTGGGCTAATTTGCATACTCATACCGATTGGCTGGTGGGTGTAGCAGAGTGACACCAATTTGCATGTTTCTCTTTTATTAGTGTAGATTTATTAATAAAACCATTATGGGTCCATGTGGATTTTATTAATAAAAACTGCAGTTACAAAAAACAATAAAATTCAGTTGTATTTCTCTACTGAAAACTGTTTGCAGTGTGGGAATAGAATAATCTTTCATGAGTAAGATTTTAATTAAAATGCTTCATTCTTTAATGACAAAAGACTTAAACAGGCCTCCCAATTGTAATCAGAAACCAAGATAAGCATGCTTATTACTACCATGTCATTTAAAGTTGTCCTGAATGTGCTAACCAATGCCTAAGACAAAATCTATAATAATAAAAGCATAATATGCTAATTAGACCAGATGTCCTTCCTCACGAAGCTGGGCCGGAGGGGAAGCCTGGGTCCCGGGTGCCAGAGGGAAGCCAGTGCCAGCAGCCGGGGGAAGGAAGGCCTACTCTCGCATGAATTTTGTGTATTGGGCCTCTAGTCTACACTTATAAAAGAAACATGCAAATTAGTGTCACTCCGCTACGCCCACCAGCCAAATCAGATGAGTATGCAAATTAACCCAACAAAGATGGCGGTTAATTTGCATACGCAGGCGCAGAGCGAGGACTGAAGACAACGTGGAAGGAAGCCAAGCGCTGCAGAAGGGAGCAAAGCTGCGGAGAAGCAAGCGGGCAGCAGAGGCAGGAGGGAAGCAAGTGGAGTGGCCGAGGCGGGAGGGAAGCCTGCCTCAGCGGGTTTCGCTCGGGCCGCAGGAAGCCCTATTCCCTGTGCAGATGGCTTGGGGCAGGGGGAGTGGGAGAGGGCCTGCTCACTCCGAGGACCTCAGCAGGGACCTGGAGCCTGGGGAGGAGGGGCTGGGAGGAGCTGGGAGAGGCTCTGCCTCCTGTCAGCATGGGCCCAGGTAGGGCTCACTGCCTGCCACAGGCATGTCCTGAGCCCAGGACAGGCGAATAAAAACAGCCACTGCCCTTGAAGGGCTGACATCACTGGGGAGGAACAGTGACCTGCTTGCCTAGGAAGAAGAAAGTACTACCACAGTCACAGCTGAAGTCCCTCAAGATGTATCGGGTTCTACT